TTAGTAATTGTGAAGAAATCACTCGTCCTAATATAGCATATAGCTATTTTACATATATACTAGATTTTACAGATTCATGGATTTTGTTCTGCAGGTGGAAATCATACAAAGCCACAACGTGAGACTTGAACCCATTAAAATCTGTTAGGAATGAATGAATGTGGAATATTGCAGCCATTCTAGTAATCAAGGGAGAAAGGTCGAGCAAGAGGGAAGCGTGAAGCAGGAAAATTGGGTTTTCGTGAAGGGGGCGGGGTTATTGCACAAACGCGTGGTACTAGCCTTTTAAATATTTATCATTACAAAATGTTAATAAATACATTTCGATTTTTTTTGTGATGTTATTTTACCTTTTTTCAATATTTTCGTATTTTTAATTATATTAGCTAGCACTTTTTTTACGTTTTCTGATTTTCTTTCTTATTTTTGTATAAATAAAATATATGTATATATTTTAGCTAGTTACTATTTCATAATTGTAGATTTCATACATGGAGAAATATTATTAATGTTTGAGTTTTTTTTTGTTGTGGTGAGAATGTGGAATGCCTTCACATTCGGCAACTTCAGACCGATAGGCGTGGGAATGGTGTGCCCGATTCTCTAACATGAATATGTAGGACACGGTCTATAACACTTCTTCTTCAGCGAGACTTATTCCTCCTCGGGACCGCTTTCGCATTACTTCGAGGAGGCATTCTTTTATATGGGCATTTTAATCCAAGCTCTTCTGATTCGCAATCTGTGTACAGACCTCCACTTTGTCAGCGCAATTATCTTGGTGTCTGCGGTTTAATGTTAAAATTGAATTGTGGTAATTTGTTGTGAGGAATTTTTTTTTTAAAACGTATTTCTACGCCATTTTATTTAATTTACAAAGTAAAGCAATTCACTTGCTTGATAAATTATAATATAATATGTAAAGTTTCAATACTAATTTTTCTTTTAAATTTATAAATTTAATAATTTGTATTTAATTTATGTGCAATTTTTCACTTGTCGTGTTTTCAATGAAAAAATTCTTTTCACATTGAGTTTATTCTTTAAAATAAAATTTCTATATTATTTTTTATTTTATTAAGTAATTTTTTATAAAAAAAAAATTAAATTTAAAAGGAATTTTTTATTGGTGTTATATTAATTTTCCTAGAAATTTCCATGGAATTAGTCTCAAGTATTTAAAATTTTCTGCTTGAATGTTTTTATAAAAAAAATATATCGAACTATTGAATTATCTGAAGTACCAGGATACATCTATGTTACGATTTTCATTTGTTACTATGGACCGAAAATTTGTATAGAAGAACGTATATTTGTTACTGTAGTGAATGCCATTTTTGCAATGGCAACGAAAATGACATACAAAAACAAAATTTAGAATATCAAGGCCCCAATTGCCGTCGGTTTAGTTGCCTTTGTGAATTTGTGGTAGTTCACCACCAGCAGCAATCAAAATCACAAAGACTGCAGATGTATGTAGAACCGTCGGCAAAGGTTGGATGTTAGAAAAATTTATCTGCATTTTTATTTCTTGTTAGTATTTTGCACTAAAAGCACAAATTTCATTTTCATCAGCGAAAAGCGAAAAAATATTCTTTTGTTTACTTCTGGAAAACCATAAAAGTGACGAATCACTTCTATTTTTAAACTATTCCACCTGTTCTTTGTATGAAACTCTATGGTTTGGATGAAGTGACCGTCGGGGAAATACGTATACGTGATAATCATGTTTTCTTTTATTTATGATTTTGTTGATGCTCTGTTCACATTCACAGTAGAAAAATTAAAAAATATATTGCATGCAGTAAAAATATATAGTTTATAAGACTATATATATAGGATTTTAATTTTTATATAAAAAATTAATATATATGTTTATGTATATATATATATAAAATTATACATTTTATAAAAAATTTTTATGTTCACATTTATAAAGTTAAGTTTACTTTTATTTTTCCATATCGTTCTTATCAAAATATGTAATTCAAATTAAATGTCATTTAAGTTACCCATAAATTTAATTTATTTCATCGTTATGATGTGGGTTTTACGCTTTCAGTACCATAAAATTTTAATTAATTGCCTTGAATACGCGCAAAATAAAAAATTCGATAACAAATTATTATTTTCTCTATTTTCTTTCTTTTCATAGCAATACTTTCAAGATATTGTGCTGAAAATGTTTGCGCATAAAATATATAAATTTATATTCAATTTTATATTGTGTTAATATCTCAAAAACTAAATAATATTTTGAATTTCTTGTGTCAAAAATTTGTGCGCACCTTAAAATAAATTTATTTTTGTATATTTTTAATAACTTGAAAACTGAATTAAACAATTTATATATACTTTTTTGTTCATGGAAATATTTCAATCTCAATATCTTGAAAACTAAATAAATAACGGATATATATTTTTTTTATTATTATATTTTTTTTTTATATTCCAAAGTTTTTGTGCTTAAAATTTGTGCGCATGTCACAAATCAAAATAAACTTATTTTTGTATATTCTCAATATCTTGAAAACTGAATAAGACAGTTTATATATACTTTTTTGGTTATGAAAATTTTATAAAGTTCTTATGCTGAAAATTTGTGCATATGTATTAAATTAAAATACACTTTATTTTTATACGAGTATATTCTTGATATAAATTCAAATATACTTTTTTCGTTATGCTTTGAAGTTCCTATGTTGAATATAAATTAATGTATTTCATGCGCAAAAATTTTCAGCACAATATCTTGAAAGTATTGCTATCAACAAAGTAATACAGAAAATTTGTGCGCATGAGAACAAATAAAATAAAGGCATTTTGTTATATTCTATTATAATATATTTGATATCTTGAAAATTGAATAAAGCAATTTATATATATACTTTTTTGGTCATGGGAATTGTAGATATGTGACTTAACATAGCCTGAATTAGTGAGATGTAGTGTTAATAACTTTTACGTTGAAAGTAAGAAAAATTGGTTTTACTTTTGATGAAAACCATACATTTCTGTTTTTATGTCGATATTATTAGGAGGTTTCTTAATGAAATAAACGTATTATTTTAGAGAAATAATATTTTTTTCCAATAAAAATCCTAGTAGGCAATTTAATTAGCGCAGAAACAGTTTCTACTATATGGTGTTGCAAATTTGTTAGTAAGATTTACGACCTGTGTTATTTTTATCAATATAAAAATTGGTTTTTTTTAGAAAATGATTTATATATGATATATATATAATAACGGTTATACTTTTTTTCAAAAGTAGTAATCATTAGTAGTTATCACTATCATAGTTGCCCTGACAAGATCTAACAATATATTTTTTTTCATCAATGCTTGAAGGAATAGCTATATCTAATTGATGAGCGGTACCGATTTTTTTTGTGACACACATTGGGTACAAATTTCCCCGAAATGTGCATTAAATATAACAACCCTTTTACTAAACTGACAAAATGGATTTCCGGTCAAGGAAAGAAAACTATGTTCAGAATTTTACAATTACTTATCTATGTTATAAGATCGTGCTTATTCAGACCGCTTTTGATCATACGAACTACCATTATAAGTTGTAGACAACTCATTATAGTAGCGGTATATTAATAGGTGTAGTAAATGGAAATCCATTTTTTTTTTGCATGAAATTGAAGACTTATTTACCATAGTTAGAATAATTTGATTTAGGTCAAAAACGTGCCGTTTTATTCAGTAACTTGTTGACATTTTGAAGGTAATATCATTATGCCTCTCTCATAGAAGTTTTCGTCCATATTAGCCAAAAATTGACACAGTCAATTTTTACAAACATCTTTTGAAGCGAATTTTTCATCAGAAAATTCGTCAATAATTTGCTATGTACAGAAACAGATGGTAATCACTTGGTACCAGATCTGGACTAAATACTGTCTTTGCAATCAAGCTCCCACAACTTTTGACAAGTTATTATCGATGTATGTGGGGTGGCGTTGTCCTGATAAAACACACACAATTCGTCTACTATTGTCCAAAGCTGGCCGTTTTTAGGCGATTGCTTCCTATTGATGGTTCAATTGTTGACAATACAGTTCCGAGTTAAGAGTTTTGTCGCAGGGGACTCATAGTTAATGATTCTTTGCCAATATAACCAATATAACAATATAATACACAGCAAAATCTTCCTGACCGTCAATCCTGACTGGTCCCCGTTTCTGCCGGTTCACCGCAGTTTCAATAACCGTTTTTGTTTGACGTTATCTTTGTCGTAGGTGATCCACTTGTAATCACTAGTCACCAATATATAGAATTTCATCTATCTATAGCCGATAGTAGTTTATGTGTTCATAGTAAACTACCGCCTAAGAGATTGTCCCCTTTTTTACTAAATGTCAGAATAAATTTTTGGTGGAAAGAAAGGAAACTATATTTAAAACTCTCTTAGTCACTTTTCTATTGTAAAGATAACTGTACTATACTATAGATTCTTATTATCTATAGTATTATAAGTTATCCCAGCATTATAGGGCTTATGATAGGCCGTTTTCGGTTACATGAACTACCACTAAAATCATTCTATCTATTTGTTGTTATTGTACAAAAACAAAGAAACGATTACACCTAATGTACATTATTTTATTTAATAATACTTATTTTGTAACTACAGAACTAATATAGAAATTAAGGAAGCAATACGTTTTCCGGCAACGAATAAAGGCTTTTAGAAAACCATGAAATATAGTTATTATTATGATTAAAACATAATTAAATAATATAGAAAATATTCTGTGAGCAACATATCTATTTTGAATATTCTTTCAAAAATTTTACTAAAATTAAAAACGAATACTCATCACCGCAACAGCAACGCCCACGCAATTTTTTAAAATCTCTTTAGCAAATTTATATATTTTTGGAAAAATCGTGAAATTTTCCGCTTATGTATAATAAAAAAAATAAAAAAAATTTTAGAAAATACTGTAAACATTAGAAAATTGTGAGAATTCGCATTTGTGGAAGGCATGAAGAATTGTTACTCTCCCAAGCTTTAAAAGCGGCCAACAGACTGTGAAGCAGCATCAGTCTCAGGCAGTTTTCCTTCTAGTGAAGATCACAAGAATCAAAAAAAAAATCTAAACAAAATGTCTCTTGAACGTGCTGTTCGTGCTAAGGTGAATATAAAAAAATTCCAAAAGTGAAAGAAAAAATTAATTTCAAAAAATATGTGAACAAAATAATTTAATTAGTAAAATTAATTAAAATATAATTTGAAAAAATTTCGCATAAATTTAAAAATGAATAAAGCATGCGGATTGTAAAGTGCTCTTGACTTTTGAAATATTTAAATGCATAAATACGTTTAAATTAAATCTCAATCAATGAAATTATTAAAAAATGTTGTACATTTTTTAGATTGCTGGCAAGCGCAATCCAGAAATGGACAAAGAAGCTCAAGAATGGATTGAAGCTATTCTTGGACAGAAATTCGGTGCTGGTCAAGAATATGAAGATGTCTTGAAAGACGGTCAAGTTTTGTGCAACTTAATCAACAAATTGCAACCAAACTCCGTACCAAAGATCAACAGCTCTGGTGGTCAATTCAAGATGATGGAAAACATTAACAACTTCCAAAAAGCCTTGAAAGATTACGGTGTAGCAGATTTGGATGTTTTCCAAACTGTTGACTTGTGGGAAAAGAAAGATATTGCACAAGTTACCAACACCATTTTCGCTTTGGGCCGTGCTGTAAGTATATAAATATTAACAAAATCTTATATAAATACAATTTTGGAATCAGTTAAGAATAATTAATCTCTTCTATAATTTTAGTGCTACAAACACGCAGAATTCCCCGGTCCATTCTTGGGTCCCAAGCCTGCTGATGAATGCAAACGCGATTTCTCTGAGGAACAATTGAAAGCTGGTCAAACAATCATTGGTCTCCAAGCTGGTCAAAACAAAGGTGCCACACAAGCTGGACAAAACATTGGTGCTGGCCGCAAAATCTTGCTCGGCAAGTAAATCAATTAATGGATACTCAATTAACAACAAACAAGAGCAATGTTGTGATTTGTCTGATAATTTAAAATCTATTATTTATTTATATTTTTATTAAAAATTTTTTTATATAAATTTAATTATAAGTTAAAATTATTCCTCACATAAATACACGTACACACTAAAGCAAAGAAGAAACACAAAACACAAATTGTATACTGTACATCCTTAAATGGAAGTGAAAGAAGATGATACTTTTTAAGGATAAAGAAAAGAAATCGCTTATGTTAGCTTATTAAGTTTAAACTTAAGCTATTTTGTATGAAAATTTGGAAAAAAATTTAGAGTGGAAAATAATTTATAACAATAAAGAAACGCGTTTCAAAAACAAAAAAAAAACAAGAAACACAAGCTCTTTAATTTAAAAAAAAAAATTAACACAAAAAAAAATAAGTAACATAGTCAATATCATTCCTTTGTCTAAAATATTCACTACCTATTTTAGTCTGCATTTCAAAAACAAAAAAAAAATCATTTAATTAATTTAATATAATAAAATAATTAAGTTAATATATCATAAGCCCTAATAATCACCTTTTTAACCTTCACATTCATTAACGGATCGGATTGTTCTCTCAGAAAATGGCCTCATGCGATTAAGGTGTGGGCGATTATTTTTATAGCTTTTCTTTGAAGAGACCATACATTCTATATAACACATATAACGAAAGCATGTTGTTTTTTTACAAATTTAGCTATATATAATAGATGGATATACTCGTATAATTCAGTTGGACCAATTTTACATGTACTTATATGGAGACTATAAAAATAAGATTCGCGTGCGCACAAGTAGCAATATTCGACAAAATAAACACAATTTTCCAAATATTTTAATAATAGCAACAAATAAATTTTCATGTTTATTATAAATTTTTTTTATTTCTAATAAATACCGAATAGAACATGGAAAATACTCTCAAAAATATAAATTTTTCTTTGACTTGTTGCAAAACAGAAATTGAGTACAATTTTAAGAAATTCCTTCCAATTTGTTTTGAGGTGTGAATAATTAATATTCTTTTGAAATCGAAACAGATGTTTTATATCAATAGTCTTTTTAGATCGGATCTGACATAAGCCATAAGAAATTATTTTCACAGATGCTAAATACTTTTCTGTAATTGCAATTTAAAAATAGTTTAAAAATTGAAGAAGATAAATAAATTTTATATTTTATAAAAATTTTTTTATCATAAATTGAAATTATTTGAATGTTAGCTATTTTAATATGAATTGCACATTCTCTATAAGATATAATATTTTAGATTTCCTGAGATGTTTCAAAAAATAATATGTGTTTGTCTATAAAAATTAAATCTGAGTTATTTGAAGTTTATGAGGACTTTACAACAGTGCTTAAACATTTTCACACGATCCTCCCAAAAAATATAGTTGCATGAAGTCAGAAAAAAGATTATCAATCGTTAATAATAAAGATTTTAGTAGGATTAATTTAGGTTTTGTACATAAGTTGGATTGAAAAATACTGAAGATAAAAGATACCAGTTTTTTTTGTTTTGCTGTAGGTGGAAGGCACCAAAAGCCACAGTGTGAGCCTTTACTCCACTAAAACTACCTTTTAGGAAAAGATTTTCACTGCAAAGCGGAAACTTTATTCCAGTAAGTAAGGGGGTAAGATGTGGTGAAGAGGCTTAATACCTAGAAGTTTCACTTTGTATGGGAGTATGGAAAGGGGGTGGGGTGTAGTATTTGGAATTAATGAAAAAATTTAATAAATAACACGTTTTAAATGTATTAAAATAAAACTGTGCAAAAACATGTGTATCCAAAATAAAACAGATAGTACATTTATTTTTGATTTCATGAAAAGTACTTTACAATATCACTTCGAAAGCTATCACAGTTTTTATTGTTAAAAATATTTTTAATAATTTAGTTTCATCAATAAGTACTTTTCTGTGATTGAATTTATTTTATAATTAAAATTAAATAGACAAAAAAAAATCTATTCACACAGCACAATTAATTTGGATTTAGTTTGCTTGGCTCGTTCGTTTTGTTATAAAACCCAGTTAAAATTGAGACACGATTCCATGAAAAAAACCGATAACCAATATTACTATGAAATTTTAATTTGTATAAAATCAAGGTTTAAATTCAATTTACAAATTCGTAATTTACAATAGTATAATTTAACTTTCATATATTAAAATTAAGCAAAAAAAAATTTTGTTTCATTGTTCGTCACTTTTATTTATGAGCGTTACTCCTATAAAACATTTTTGAGAAACAAAATAAGAATAGAATTAAGAATTATGATTTGTTGTGTGAATAGGGTTAAGCGATGTGTAGTAAAACTTGAATTATGTAGATTTAAAGCATAAACTGACAGCGGAAGGTAAATAAAATGGTATATAACATAGAATTTTGTAGAATAATTATGTATAAAGTCTAGTATCTATAGCTGTTTCAGAATAAGGAGCAAGTAAAAATATAAGGCTCAACTTACAGTTTTACTTTAAGCTTAATTTTAAAATATGGTAAAGCAGCCGATTCATATATTAACACACGTTTTAATAAAAAAGAAAATGTTAGTTAGTTACTGATACTAGGTAGTTGCTACAAAAAACATATGGAACAGATCTAATGTGTTACTTCATTTACCATATGTAGTAATTGATGTTGAGAATTTTTTCTTTCGTTTTTAACAGCTATGTGCTGTTAGCTGGCACTTTGAATTTTGTTTATTTTGTTATTTATTGCGCTGTTAGGTTGTACTTTAAATTTTGTTTATTTTAATTAATATAATATATGGTATTTTAGTAAAGTTAAGCAGTTTCTGCATGTGCTAGTAATATATAATCAGTTTACAATAGCAATTGGTATGCAATAGAATCTTTTTAATTTATGACTAAATTGCTTTTAAACATATTGTTAAAAATTTATGATGTAGAGCTACTTATATTCATTAAAAAGTAATTAAAGAAATAAAGTAATAAAAAATAATTCAATATAAAATATTGAACAAATATTTTAATTTTATGTTCATTATTTTCGTATTTATTCCAAATACTGTTAGTAGAATAAAAAAATAATTGATTAGATTAAATTTGAAAGTGGAATTTTAAATCTATATAAAATAAATTATTGTTACATTAAAAGCTTATTAACTGTATTGGTTTTCTCTGGTCCTCTTGCATATCACTTAAACGAAAAAACAAATATAAATTGCAATTAATAAATTTGGACACAAATGCAATAGATTTGAATATACATACACCGCATTTTAAAATATTTGAATATATATGAATACGAGATATGATTTACGCCTCAATAATATTGTCAAAAATGTGAGGAAATTAATAATACATTTTCTATAACAACGCAATTCTAATTTTTTTTTTGCCAAATTTGTTCCCATTTAGTGCACCAAATTCGTTTCTATAAAATCATAATTAATTAAAGCACCGAGGGAAATACCATTTTTCTAGAAATATTTTGATATATGAAATATAGGGTGCTTTTTTAGCTGCATAAGAACTATTTACATCTATAACTATGGTTTGACAGTAGAGAATGTTAAACTGCGTTGACATTTCTGTTCAGAAAGGTTTGGCAATTCATCGTAACTTGCTTAACGTTAGAACAATGCTTCCAAATTGTGGAAAATTTACGCCTCGTTTTCACTATGTCATTTTCAATGTCAAGTATTGTCAGTATAATGAAAACCGATAGTCATATGATGTCATATTCTAGTTTTTGTCATGTAATGAAAATGCTAGTGTGTCAAACTAGTCAATTATAATTGTCATTTAAATTAACATAGTGAAAACAATGCACTTTTACTTTTAAAACAATAAATCGGGTGGGTCATTGAGCACTTTGTCCATTTTTTAGTTAACAGTAATGAAACTTATTTCTGGTTAAATGGCTATGTCAATAAGTGAAATTTCCATATATGGAGCGAAGATAATCCACAAGCCGTTAACGAATAACAACTACATCCCTTAAAATTGACTGTTTGGTGCGGTTTACATACTAGTGGCATCATCGGTCCTTATTTCTGTCGATATCAGGAAGGAGCTGCCGTTATGGTGATTGGCGAGCGCTATAAGCCTTCTGACTAAATTTTTGTTTCCAAAAATTTATCAAAGCATCCTCAAATCGTCAGACATTTGGTTTTAACAAGACCAATTTGTTGGTGCAACTTCCCATACTGATCGCTTATCGATTAACAATTTATTGCGAATCCAATTTGGTGATAACTTTATTTCCAAAAATGATCCTGTTAACTGGCTTCCTCGTTAGTGCGATTTAATGCGCCTCGATTACTTTTTACGGGACTATGTTAAATCATTGGTTTATGGCGATAACCTGGCAATGCTTAAAGCATTGGAAGCCAATTTTCATGCCACCATTGACGTCTTCGACGCCATACAGCCGCATTTATTAATGCGACTATTAAAAAAATAGTCTGATCTGTAAATAAATGCCATGAAGTTATTAACCAGATTATAAAAAAAAATTTTATTCCAACAATATTTCTGTTTTGTATTATCATTTTAAGTTCTTATGCAGCTAAAAAAACACCCTATATAAAAACAAATGCCAAGTATTGCTATATGTTTTAATTATAATATATAATATAAATATATTTTATGGTAAGTTATTGAGTTTAATTTCATAAATAGTAGAAAGCGATATTCCAATCTAATTTTATATGCAATTTCCACTTGCATTTCTAATATTGATAGTTTTTAACCTATACTAATGTATCTAGTAACTAATTTTAATTAAATTTAAAATTAAAAAGAGTAAATTATAAATTCATTTGAAATTAATTATGTTTTTATTTGTCTAAACACCTATATTTGACTATCTTTTTTTATTATTATTTATTTATTTTTTATTTTATATATTTATACTCGCAGTTCGCATTTATCGTTAATTCGTGCACTTCACATTATTAATTATCAAATTATTGAAAACAAATAAATTTTTATTAAGTGCAAACATAAAATTTAATAAAATGTAAAATTAAATTGAATTTGGTCGTGTGGCCAATCAATATTGAATTTGTAAATATTTGCAAAATTATTTTGAAAAATTCATATTTTGGGGCAAAGTACAAATTTTGAGATATTTTCACAAATGCCGCCTACGAGTTCCCAGTTATGGAGAACGCAACAGTACTTTGTAATATTACTACAAAGTAAACAATAAAATATTAAAAGTAATAGTTTTTGATATAATAAAAAGATATTAGATATTTTTTTTGGAAATGATTGCAAAAATGTTTATTAATAAATTTTTATATCATTTATAATTTTTCGTACTATATATGATAATAATTAATCCCCTTAAAAG